GCGTGCGCACACCGATTAGTGGATGCCGAATGCAAGAAAGTGCAACGCACCTGCTCCAGGTCCTCAAAAAAGTTGATATGCCCGCCTGTCGTCGGGAGGACTGCAGGCTGCATCGAGCCTCCGGCCGCAGCGAGCGCCTTCATGTCATCATCATCCTTGCGTTTCTTCGACCCCGAGGGCTTGGAGCCTGCGCGTTCTCGGAGTCTGTCGATACGAGCTTCCGAATCCTAAGCGAATGGGGTGTGAGCTGTGATGAGTGGCGAGACCGAGACGGACGCACTGCGAGCATCATGCGGCCCTCTTCCTTGGACTCCTTCAATCGCGCTTCCTCCTCATCCCTCCGGACCTTCTCGATGTTGTCCCTCCGGTAGGGATGGTAGGACTTGTGGTGCGCGATATTGAGTTTGCCCATGATTATCTGAAGACCGGAGAGTTCGAGGTGGCGATGACTCAGGGACGATGCGTGGATTGAGCCGCGGATGGAGTACAGATGGGTATAGATGAGGAAGGGGGTGGAGAGGACCGGGGATGACGTCGGTGTCGGCGATGAGGATGACGGTCAGAGGCAAGGGCAGTCGATGCGATCATTGATCCGAGTCCTGGTGATGGATCATCAAAGAAAATCGTTCCTCGCCAATTCCTCGCTCAGAGCCAAGACGAGCTCCAGATTCGAACCGGGAGCCAGGCCAACTCTGCGCATCGTCAAGTGTCATCGAATGCCAAACGTGGGCACGATAAGTACCCGTCTGTGCTGGTAAATCAATCACGAATAGACCCCGTCCTGCAGAAACAATGTCAAGCTTGGGCCTGGTAAGTTCCCCAAAAGCGGGGCGAGTCTGTTGTTTCGTGATCACTCGATTACTTGATACGTTGTCGCCCGAGCAACCGTTTCTAGCAATAAATGAGTTCTAAACCCCCGTGGAAAAGAGCCGAACCCGGATTCGGACGCATCAGCGTCGTTCTCAGTGAAGGACGTTGACAGGCTCCTCTGTTGGAAACCGTTTGAGAGCCATCATGGGTGCATCTGGATTCTGCCATCTACTGAGACCAAATTTCTTGCCCCTTAGAGTTACGGCAAATGGCAAATAATTCAAGGCTGGCCCACAGCGAGGAGCGCGAGCTTGGAGAGTCGAGAGGAGTGACTCTAGGACTACATGCCCGGATTAATATTCCAGATTCCACCGAACATGTTGAACAAGCAGAATCGGCAATTCAATAGCAGTGGCCGGTTCTCAACTCTGCTGTGTTCCTGGTTCGAATCCACGAGCAGCCGATCCATGATCCCGTCGAGATCGTCGTCTTACTTTTGACCCACTTCCCTCCATCTGTGACTGTTTTCTTTTGCGTAGAAGCGGGAGAAAGAGGAAGCTGATCATTCTCGTCTGAATCGAGGAAGTTGAAGTTGAACACCGAAGGTCATGCCGAGTTGATCAATCGATCGGCGCAGGTAATACTTATCTGACATTGGGTCGGTGGACATGCATGTACATGTGTACATGCAGTCCTCGCGCCCTCCAATGACACCTGCAGCACCCGAAGCGGCCAAGTGACCGCCGTTGCCGTTGGTGCCTGGTTCGAATCCACGTCGGCGATCGTCGAAGTTACGTTGATTCCTTTTTTGACCCATTTCTTCCACTCTGTGGGGCACAAGCTCGGCTAAGATGTCCAAATAGGAAAGCTAGCACTGACACTGGTTCTACTGGAGTCGGGGAAATTGGACTCGAGAGCGAAAGGGCACGTGTGCCTGCCGATCAATCAAGAATCAATGATAGGCTAAGTAGCGAAGGCGCGTCGGAGAATCGGGCAAAAACACATGGACAAGTGGCGATTCGAACGCCAGACCTTCCGCAACCACGCTGGAGCAATGCGAAGCGGACGCAATAACCAACTATACTACATGCCCGACGGCAACATTCGAAGCGAGTGGAATAGCAGGGAGGCGAGCCAGAATTCAACATTTCGATCGTGTTGAGGAAAACGAGTCGGGAACGCGAGAGGTTGACACAGAAGCGGATGGAGTTGCACTTGAGCCATGAGATTCCATAAGATTCCAGGAGTATATCTGCGCCTCTCATTCCGGGAGGACCACACAAAACTGACACAACACCCGCGTCTTGTTCATCTAGGCATAATATCAAACGCTCGCGGCTAGGGCCTCGTGAAAGAAAAAGAAAAGACCTGGAATCCATTTGTAAGACAGGCGCCGGATTTGAACCAGCCTGGCTCGCGTCTCGCGCGTCGAGCTTCATGGCCCAAATTGGCCGTCACAATCCGTCCACGAAGTGTGGCAACCGAAGGTCCGATGTAGGATGTGCACGGGAGGGAGGTGAAGGAGATCAAGAAGATAGGCGCTCTTTAGAGGAAAAAAAAAGTGTACTGCGTGGTTACCTACGGATACTCTCCGAGTCATTCCCCCAAGGTCTGCAAACTCTCGCCTCCCTGAGCTCCTCCCATGCTCAGGAGAGTCGGGTAAGGCGACGATTGAAATTGGGCATTCTTCTACTGTGCACTGGTCTCCGGTGTGGACCCGTCAGCGTGTCTTTGAAAATCGGGGATCGTGTGCGCAGCCAGGACGCGGAACATCCGCCGGCCAGCCTGGATGGACAAGACTCCCCTCAGATTCTGAGATTCAAGATGGTGCCATTGAACGGCCATCAGTGATTTGTCAATCGCTTGTAGTCAGCGGCTCGGGTTCCGAACGATCGCGATCATTTACCCACTTGTCCCCGACGATCACCAGCTGACTCAATGCACACTCACCCACTTTCTCCCGTTGAGGGGCAGGCATAAAGAGCCCTCAAGACCGCAGGTGAATGCATCCACAGTCTTGAAACCCGCTCTCTCAAATGTCTACCAGCAAAATCATCCTCGTCACCGGCTCCAACAACCGGTATCGGCTACAGCCTCGTCGAGCTCCTCGCTGCCAAGGGCCATACTGTTCTATCTGGCCTCGCGAGGCGAGGCTGCAGGCCTCGAAGCCATGTACGTTTGTGTTTCCCCTCTACGAATCGAGACTGAAGATCAACTGCAGTGCGAACTCAAGCAGGAGAAGAACCTTGATGTCAAGTTTGTTCAGCCTGATGTCACCGACGACGCCTCAATCAAGGCCGCCGTCGCGACGATCGAGAAGGCGGAGGGCAAGCTGGACGTGCTCGTCAACAATGCCGGCGAGTGTTACTTCCCTTGTATCTGCCGCTATGAATTCTGACAATTCTTCGTTTAAGGCGCCGCCAGCATGAACAAGCCCCACAGCGCCTCCAAGCCCAACTTCGAGGCCCTCGAAATCACCTTGGCCACCAACCTCTTCGGTCTCATCCGCACCACGACCGCGTTCCTCCCCCTCATCCGCGCCGCCCACAGCGCCGCCTCCCCCTCAGTCATCCTGAACGTCACTTCGGACATGGCATCCAACGGCTTGATGGCCAAAATCCCCAAAAATTTCTTGCACGATTTCGTGGCCTACAACACGAGCAAGGCTGCTGCCAACTCGTACACGATCGGGCTCGCCAAGGACCTCGCGGCGGAGGGCATTAAAGTGAATACCGCCACGCCCGGGTTCACGTCGACCAAGTTGAATGGGTTCAGGGAGGGCGGTAAGACGTCTGAGCAGGCTGCGGCGATTCTTGTGCCTTGGGTGCTTGTGGACAAGGATGGGCCGACTGGTCGGTTTGGGAAGGATGGGGGTGAGTCTGAGTGGTAGATACGAATGTACAGAACTGAATGTAATTTTAAATCTTCGAGTGCGCTTTAAATTTGTTGCATTTGCATCCCAACTCAGGCCGGTGAGTTTATCCCTTAGCGTTCCCCATTTCCAACGCCATACATAACCCGTTCGACTCGAGTTGGAGGATCTCATTGGGATACCACTATCATTTTGGCTTCAATCCAGTGTGACACCATCTCGTTCAACATGGTTCGCCGTTCGACCAGGCGTTGTAACAACTTGCAAGCCAGGAAGTTATGCACGACTGTTGCTCTGCGTTGATATTCTGGAACCCATTCCGGTCAGCACAGAACATGGGTGGAGCTGGGACGAGAGCACATCAGCGGAAATTCGATTGAAGCCTTGGACATCCCTGTTCAATTCAGTTGATGCGCAGCATTCGAGGTTCGGATGCTCCCTTCAGACGCCGTTCGAGTCGGCTTTGAGGAATTTGGCGGGCAGACAAGCGTATTCACCATTTTTCCTGTATCGTTTCGAATGAAGGCACAACCTGGGGAGAGGTCATTGTAATGCATAGCATACACGAGAATTTCTAACGTGCATTGTTATTCGGACACGGAGTGAGAAGCTCGTATTGGTTTATACGACCTGCTCGGACCCCAGCTTGATCGGCTTGGCGGCGCATCAGCAATTTGAACTGTGGGAGTACGCCAGATCTCGGCTGTTCCACTCCAAGGGCATAGCGAGTGGAGCGCGCTGAAGAAGCACGAGTGGACTGAACGACTCTGGCTAATAATGCACGAATGCAATGTTCAAAAAAATTGAGCAAGCACCCGCTGCTGACCATTGACCCAGCCCGGACTCGAACCGGATGCCATTATTTCAGGTCTGGCTGAGGACGACAGGCCCTCTGCAATGTATGCATCTGGAGAGGAGCCGAAAGGTTCACGCTAGAAGATCCCGATCAAGCCGAAGAAAAAGACATCCCATTCAAAATTTAAACTGCAGCTTAATTGACTTACTCGGCCACTACCCTAGTCGCGCCATTAGTCTTATCTGCCAGCATCACGCAGTACTATGTGCATTAATTTAAAACTTGACGAAGCTAGAATATCCAACTCAAGACCAAGGCGGCCAACGCTCCGAAATGGGGCGCCGACATGAAACTAGTACCCTGGAGCTGGACTACTCCGAGCACCACGCCTCAGGCTCGTGTTGCTTGGGTTTTTGGTATCGCTCCACTGCATCGTGCTACTTGGGCCCCGAATATTGGGTTAGCACGCGAATATTGGTTTAGCACGAGCACTGCAAGCCTAAATCGCCTGAATTCGACTTTAGGACGTGGCCTTCAGTGATGCGAGCGTTTAGTTAGGCGGATGCCTCGGCCGGGTGTCCGTGACTTGTAGACATCCCGGGCCTTCTCGGTTCAGTACACCGTACCCAAATGAAGATATACAGTCGAATACGCACAGAACTCAACGCCCTGGCGAGTGGGCAAAAACAGAGGTGGGCAAAAAAGAGACAAAACAGACGAAACACCGGGGGGAACCGGGCTCAGTTAGCGTAGTTCGCAAGAGGACTCCGGTTTTGAAGGACCGACGCCTGAATTAGTGAACATGGACGTCAACCCAGTGTAGCTCAATTTACATACCTGCCTTGATTGCCCGAACAGTGTTGCGTCCGCCACAGGGAAATTCGGTCGAGCGAGCGGAGTTTCAAAGAACTCCACCATGCACCGCTCTTCTTATAAAACGGAGGAGAGGTGCGCCACTAAGTCCAGCAAACCCAGAAAACACCCCAGCGCAGCCAACCAACTAAATAACCAATCCCACTACCACAATGCACTTCACCGCTCTCACTACCCTCGTCTTCGCCGCCCTCACCCTCGTCGGCGCCTCGCCTCTTATTGCGGAGCGTCAGACTTACGAGGCCTGCTCGGGTCTCTACGGCAACGCCCAATGCTGCGCTACCGACGTCCTCGGCGTCGCCGATCTCGACTGCGGCGTACCCACCATCACTCCCACCGACGCAGCGCATTTCCAATCGACTTGCGCGGATATGGGCCGCAGGGCTCGGTGCTGTGTGCTTGCCGGGGTGCTTGGCCAGGTTGACGTGCTTTGCGTAACCCCTGTTGGGGTGTCGGCGTAAACGATCCAAGTTGAAGACGTGAGTACATCTCGGGCTCCTCAAGGCTAGATGCTGACTCACCTCCTGTAGCCTCCCAACGTTCCTTACTTTAAAATCCCTCTTTTCGACAAATCTTTGGCGTTTTGTGTTTTCTTCCGAGACGGTGTTGTTTGGGTGTTTGGACAGCAGCAGTAGACAATTGTTTTGTTTGACTTTTTCACCGATGTGTTGTATGTTCTTCGAGCAAACGAGATTGATTAGTTGATAGTTTCTGAAATCTTGGGCCTGTGGAGAAAGTTTGTCTCCCGAGCCAGTACCCACGCTAGAACCGTCGTGTTCTTGCCTTTTCCTCGAGCAGCCATGTGTTGGATTGTATATTCTTGGAGCCAACGAATGATTGAGCGTTTCCGAGATCTTGGCTCTTACATACCTACAAGTTCAACTTGCGTGCATGTCTCGCCTTGAAGGCATATTGGAGCCGGGTTGATCAACATTAGGGGAGAAGGACAGACAAGTGCGACGCGTGAATCCGGAAAGAAAAGCTGGGGCTAGTCAAGACTGTAACCAGTTTGGATTCACGAGCAGTGACACTTGCGGACAAAAGTAACAGTTCGCCGTCGGCATGTGCGTGCTACAACCCGGAGTCGAACCGGGACATCTACAACGATGGCAGTGCATGGGGTATCACAGTCATTGCGTGGCGTTGCGGTCGTTCCTTGTGATAGCAAAGTTTGGTGTAACTGAGGCACGAGCTGCTGAAGAAGAGGGAAAGGAGTCCACGGTAGGATGCAAAAAGAGCCCAAGAACTCGACCAAGCTCGCAAGGCTACATCGAATGCAAAGAGTACGATTTCAATTTCATCGGTCTGGGTCTATGTATCTAGATTGTCACCAAGAGAAGTATTACGGAGGGAATGTTAGTATATACGCGCTCTAGATTTCTGCGCCACCGTCTACTCGACCCGCGCACGCTTCGCCGCCGGGGCGTCCCCGTTGGTGTGCCCATTCGAGCCGTTAGTCTCGGTGGAAGAGAAGTACTCCAACGACGCCTTGGGGTCCGCCTTGATCGTCTTCGAGCCCTCGTGCCAGTTGGCGGGGCAGACTTCGCCGAAT